GGAACTACTCACAAGGTTGCTGAAAACTCTTTGACAGCCCACGACCGGTTTCGTCCTTCTTGGGGCTCATCAGGTAGGCGCAGTCCTCGCGTTTCCGTCAACCTTATGGTCTACTTGCACCCAAATAACACTGTTTTCGAGAAATACACTCATTTGCAAATCAATTTGGTTTTCACGGGAGACTCAATTGAATCTCTCGTTTATGATGTTCTCCAGCTGAATGTGCTGCACACAGGCAGCCTCATGATTCAGTTGGCACCATATTCGACAAAGCCCACTTACGAGAGCCGCCAAATCGTCTCAGGCAAAACTACGGATACATGTGGGATGAATTTCCGCAAAATACATTGTGCTGTGACTGAGTTCTTTGACTGCATATACTCCGTTCGGTAGTCCCACTGCTATGCTCGTTTTTATTCCAATCATTTATTGTAAAAGTGAAATGAAGGTTGCGAGCAATACAAGCGGAATTTGAAATATAAATACCGAGGGATGCATAATGGAAAAGACGGGACTACGTGCTTCGCAGCCTTCACTTTCGTAAATGTGAGGTGCGCAAGAACTATGGCGATTTATCACTCCGAAGAAAGGAGGAAAAACAACTGCTATCAGCTGCTCTGTTTAAGTGTAAACGGAAATGATTGACCAGCTCACCATTGTGCGTGGTTAAATAAGCTTTGTCACACACAAACAAGTTGGCCTCGACCAAATTAGAAATTCAAGCACTCCAACTACATCTAAGTAGCAGGTGGACTCGCTTGTTTGCTGTTCACAGTAATTTACTCGAAGCACGTCAATATCGACTTAATCGATCGTGCAACGTTATGGAACGGTAGGGTGCCAAGCGGTTCATTTGGTGAGCAAACGAACGTAGTGCGCTGCAGAAATGACCAAACTTAACGCAAGTGAATTGAAGTTACCTGCATCCGAGAGTCAGAGTACGCCGCTCCATTATGATTTCGGTAGCCAGTGGCAAATGGAGTGCATAATTCAGGTTTCACCTAACATACACAAGATAACTAACTATTGATTTGCCTAGGTATTAGACGACTGATTAGCTGGCGCTGCAGTCACCCTCTGTAGTACGAGAATTTGTAGAATGAATTTGTGATTACCACTTCCAACTGGTGGGGGCTGTTTGTAGTTCACCAATACAAGCCCTTGAATTGAGTTTCTAACAGATAACTGGTCAAACTGATATTGCCACGAAAAATGAAGTGGCTTATTGCCATCGATTTAAGGCTTCCGTCTCAAATACTGCCGGTGTACTACAATGTAGTAGCTCAATTTCTTACCCGTTGACCTCGGATACCTCCCCGTCCTTTTCCCTACACGAAATCAGATATCCTAAAATGTGAACTCACTTCTTATCATCTGGATAAGTTTAAGATTCATTCAAAAGCAAACTTTTTATCTGGTACTCAAACATTAGCAAAGGTAGATGTAAACAGTCTCTGGACTTGTGAGGTAATCAGCCAGCCTGCTATCTAGTTAAAGTAAATCACTGTATTTATGGATACGTTCTTTGATCAACAGGCAGCTAATTAGTAGGCCTAACATGTCCGCTCACAAAGCTGTCCCACGTCGTTGATTCAACCACAGACGGTAAATTTACTGTCGGACGTTTTGCCCAGGCAAACATACGAAATCCAAATGACAAACCGAAATTATTGCAGTTACTACATGCATGTCACACCCTTATCTCCTCCACAAGTGACAGCGCCTCTATGTGATTCTTAGTCTATGCTTGTCTACTTATCTAGAAACCATGCAGAGCGAACAGTGAAGATAAAACGCTCTTTATTCCTCAGCTTCCGTCCCAGTTGATGCCGCCAACCCCACTTACTTTGCACATTTATCATTTGAATGAACATTCATCACTCACTCTTTCAAATAACTCCTTCCCAGTTTGAATTCAGTACCTTATGTTCCAAACTCTACGCTCTGAACCCGCTTCAATGGATGCTCTTATCCATAAAAAACGCACGCTATGATTAAAAGCAACTACAAGCTTCTTAACCCCATTCGCGTGCATGTTTACCTTTCTGCTCCGGAAACTCACCGATCCAAATCTGCCGGTCATATGAACCTAAGCGCCCAAGGCAACCACGCAACATTCCTAGGGCGTTTTCCTGGCTACCATTCAATAATAATTGTTTGGGCTCCATCACTTTACCGGTGACCTGTTACGTAACTTTCCAAAATAAGGTCATTTTGAGGTAAGTTGTCTGCAGCACTGTCCAATTTATTCATCTGAACACAACAGGGAAAAGAAGGCTAACGAATTTTCGCATTTCCATCATGTAGTGCAGGGGCGAATTTAGAACGAGATGGTTGTAAGCAAAAGCTAAACCAAGAAACCCTGAACATAGAACGTCGCATTAAGGTAGCAAAATTGTGGGACGGAGTCAGCTAAAAAGTGGCGAATACATTAAATCAATGTTTGGTTGCGTGCAGCGATATATACTGTCTTGTGATCACCATCATCATCATAATCGACAGCATGACATCAGTGTTCGACACTGATGCTTCACTGCCTTATTGTAAAGAAAAGAGTAAAGGTGGACGGGGAAGGGACTTAGTCAACATAGCTCCTTATGTGGACGTTGTGTTGATTTCGGTTCCACGAGAGGATAGCAGAAGCCCTGGTAAAATATTCTACCTGTTTTCGATATCTTTAATGCAGTCTAATCACTGATTCTGAAATTTACTTAACCGCAGCGGAACTTTGAACACGATATATGAGGAAAACTTCAGATGGGTATTTGGTATGTTGTGCAGACTACGTATTGTTAACTGTTTTCCTTTTCCGATAGATGGACACTATAAGCATGCACGAATGCAAATAACGACATGGAGTGGACTGACGGCCTCAATGGAAGCCCAGTATTGCTTACTTAGTAGCCGGCGCCTGAAGCCAGCCCGTAAATTAACAATGATGAATATTCACATGCAAACATGGTTCTCTTTGTAATGAATTTTTCGAGCGGTGAGCCATTCCTCCCGCCAATCCCTCCTAAGTTTTCATATTTGTAAGAGAGAAATGATTGATTGGAATATTGGCGGCTAGATTGTTGTTGATTTTTAGCTGATGTAGACCCCTTGACGGCAAACATTTTGTCATTAATACGGATGACAACATCGTTAACCCACTTTAAAACGGAGTGCGGGTTTGCGGGATAACTCCATCGCATCACACAAACCGTGTTTGGTAACAAGAACTGAATTTCAAAGCAATTCATTATCCATTGCACCTTGAGGACAGCAGATGTGATTCTCGCACGTCATCCATGAATGAGTCACTAATCCGCCTTTATGTCAAGATCGTTCATACCCAGTGCGTTATGTCCGCGTTTGATGTACGGATGTTGTTTACGGCTCATCGTACTGGAAAGTCTGACATCTATACTATTGAATGTTTCTTCATGTTTGAGCAATTTTCTCATAATCCTTCTATAAGATATCTTACGATGCAACGGCTTTTCTCAACCGATATTTCGAAAACCAGTAGACTATTCTGTAGGGCTATTCTGTGTATCGAAGAGATACATCTAACTGATAAGAGACGCCTTCAGAAAGATATGAGGTGTTTGCCTGGGGACTACCTTTAGAACCACTACTGTAAACTGTAGAAGCGTCCAATAACTTATACCTTAATGATCATGAAAAAACACTCATGTCGTTCATGTCACGCAACGTGCCTTCATAGTCCGTGACAAATGAATTATGCGAATGCAAAACTGACTATTGGATAGTTGCACAAACTAACAACAGACAGCTACAAACGGCTACACACACAGATAAACAGAAGTATTACGTACCTGATTTGGCGGCAACTGCGTTATTGATCTTCTACTTTTTCAATTCTATTCATTCCTCAATCCAAATGAACGAGCTTACTTGAATTAAGAATCCATTTGAAAAATTAGAGTAGTTATACACACACTCAAATCATATTAGAAAGACGGATTTATATTGGGACAGTTTATCGATCTCAAGTACTACCGAATAACCAAACGTGAGGATTCCTCGATGTAGTTTAGCAGATTTCGTTACTCCAAACGTAATTCACCCCATTAGTAACAAAACGGAGGTCCAGTTGATGCGCCCGGTAACCACAACACAACATGCAACGAAGTGTGTAATTACACCTACGCAAACGTTAGTGTTCGAGTGGAACATTAGGTTGGTGGAAAGTTGGAGATTGTGCCTAGTTGATTCGTGCCAACAAAACCTAAGCTGATAGTGTGTTGTTGACGCGTTTCTTTCAAATTTGATGATAACGTTATATCATGAGTCCGAATTTGTTGGTCTTGGAAACAGTGTACAAAAAGACCCTGACACTTATAACCACGGAAACGTTGAGTGACCAAACACCATTGGCTTAAAGGATGTTATCCAACCTACTTAAAGTCTGTGAAGATGATCTAAGACGTACGAATGTACGCATGTACCTTGAGAAAACAGCAACTGTAAAATTTCATCCCCATCATTTTGACAATCTTACAGCCTCAAGCCAAGTAATTTCCCCTAACACCTTTTCAACCGATTAAACCAACCTAAGCTCCACATAAGATGGACAATGACATCTCACTTCGTACTTTGTGGCCACCCAAAGCCCTTTACAGTAGAGCTAGGAGAGCACCTAGCAACCGCAATCATTCCGCTGGCCCATCAAACGTCCAATAGTCATTTACCTTTTCACTTGTGTTCCGATGTCAGATTTAATAAATACTAGTGTCTTCCACGCCAGCCTTAGCAAGCATTGGTCCAGTCGGTCTAGCTGCTCTTATTGTGTGTTCTGTTCCATGAAATAGGAAATTCGGTGACCGAATACACAAAGAAAAGACTTATTTGGGATTGTCCGTCATATGCACAAATGCAAAAAAACATTATGCGGCGCTTTCCATTCATCAATACAGACATTTCAAAACCTACGCAGATAAATGTACCGTTGTCTCCATCGAAAGGTCGATCAAATTATGGGAAATCAATGGGGGCGCGCAACAACGATCACTGCTGGAATGTTTAGGTGATCGGCTGCTTGTAAAGGCTAATACCTAGAGGAAGTTCACTGTTCTCTTTAAAAGCCTAAAAATGCCTAAACCCTGTTGATGAAAACGGCTGTACAAAGCCAAACAAGCGGAACCCATTAAGTAAATTAGGGAAACATATGTAGAAAAAATTTCTCCAAATATGTCAAAAGAGAACTAAAGTTGACCACTTGCAGTAAAAATATAATCGAATAGCAAATATACTGTAAAACAAATGAAGTAAATGAAGACGTTTGAAGCAAAAGTGGTGAGGAAAGGCAGAGGGAGTGAGAGAGCATACAGGCAGGCATTGTGGAGTCTGGTAGGAAGTTTAATCTTCCATAGGAAAGCAACTCAGCAATAGTTGAATAAAAAAGAGAGGAATCTGGATGTTACACACGGATGTCACCTACTGGCATTGGTTAAAAATTTCATTGAAATAGACCCGACGGGGGTAAAAATTCAAACTAAAGAATAAAGTCACACTTGAGAGGCACTATGTACAATTTCACATTTCAAAACTGAAAAATCGATGACCATGGAAGAACGGACAGGTTCTGGCTCACGTGATCGTTAATTGAAATTTGTTCAGTACCAGTGCCATCGTCGGTCGATCTTCAAAGTCAAGTGACGTGTATCGTGGAAAATTTGTTGTCGGGCCTCATGGCTTTTCATTGATACCGGTAGTCGGCTTGCGCGGAACTGAATGTTGTGCCGGACCCCGATTCACAGCTTCGATTGCTTGTTCAGCCACCAGGTAGGCTGTCTGTTGCAGAGGAAGATTACAAAGCAGAGGGTCCCGTAATCGGCGAAGCTCGGATTTCAGATCAGCTAGTTGTTCCCGCAACTCATTGTAGCGATTCACGTCAAAGGCATGCTTGTCAGCGCATTTGTAGAACCGTTTCAAATATTCGCGATCAAAGACTTGTGGAAAGCTGTAGTCCTGTAGGCAAATGAAACAAAAATAAAGAAATCATATACTTAAATCCTCATCAATTCCGTCAATACTGAAGGACATCGTAGTTACCATTGGCATCTCTCTGTTTTCCTTTTAAATTATGTTTTACCTGAAGATAGCATCGTAAGTGGGTGGAGTCATACACTCTTTTGCAAGTAAGATTGGTGTTAACTGGTGGTATTTCCCAGGCCAACGTGCAGTTTCATGTTCCACTTGGAAAGATACTTCTGCGGTCGAAGTATTTCTATTTATGTTACACCCTACGAAGAGAAAAACCGACGTTGGGTTCTCGAGGAGTGTTCATCAGCCTCATAAGTAATGTCATATCAAGAAAGATACCACGATATCTCGACTGACACCGCAAAGTATCAGCTAGATAACCAGGCATGCCGCCACCAAGCTGACTGAGTGATCTACAATGATAGGATGCACCATAAATGTATACGTTGTGGACACCTGACGTCTTGTGGGTTTTAACAGGCACACACTAGCCCGATAATTCTGTTTAACAGCATTGCTAAGTGAGGCATAGGACAACCACATAGCCACAGGTGCCGTGAAGAGGTAGGAATGAGTTGTGACCAGATGAGGACCTGATATAGAACCAAACTGCCCAATGGAAGGTTTACGGCTGCAAAAACAGTTCACTGCCGAATTTATGATCATAATTAGTGGGTGCTAACGGAGATACGTCTGCGAAAATTTTGGCAGTACTGTTTTCATGTGCAGTGCTGGAAAGCCATCCACAGACGAGTGTGCAAAAACCGACGGTCTCCAACGTGATGTGCGCCTTAGTTTTCAGCCCACTGACTTCAAGACATCGTGTGGCTCTGGGCGGAAGTTTCTTAGTACGCACCCAACTCTGGTTCTTCAATTGCTCTTGTCTATTATTTGCCAGTCTGATAGTGTCACAGTTCTTGTGCATTCCTTCCAAATCCATGGCAGGTATAAATCGAATGGGTTCTGATACTGTATTCCATTTCCTCATTATGTCCTCAAAAATGAGGCTATGGTGTAGACTACTTGAATGGCCGGTTGATATCACTTTACACTCTCAAATTTATTCTTTATTTACGCCCGAAACATTTGCTTTGTATTTAAAGAAACTGTCTATTGGTAAGTAGGCAATCCCTGTAAGGGTCCGACCTAGCTGAGACCTTTCTCGTGAAGATAGATTTTCGGTGTGTCCCTGTACAAGTGATTGGCTATCATTCCGATGTGGTTTTGATATTCGCTCTTATTTGTCTGCATTCCGAGAGAGTGAAATGAATGCTAGTTTATCTTTCCTTGATATACTAATTGCCCTATATCCGGATTTGAGTTTGGAGCGTTCATTGTAAGGTTACATAGAGTGGTCAACTTTTCACTTCAGGAGCTTTTTCCAATGGTTCGCAAGCCAGACCTCGTTAAAAACGTTTCGCAGAGCTGAAATTACTGGCACAACCGATCAACCACCCATTGGTTTGTTGAAGATGATTCTGTTGGCAAAGGGGCACTCCGAACAGTATATTAACTTGCGTAACCAACAAAACGCTGCACTCAGTTCGGTTCATCTAGCCAAGAGGAAAGATATAGTGGTGTCTACAATTATGGGCAACCATGTATCAAGCAACATCAAGTGGAAACTTTACCACGCCCTAAGCCATATTCACGGAGCAGCTCAGCTGCGTCTGTTGTCGATGACTCGAGAGATTAGGTTACAAAATAGACCCCGGAGTTTTCGTGAGTACCCTGTTTCGCATGTCATCTAGGTTCCCTTGCAGTTGTGGCAGGGCTGAGAGATGTTTTTCACAATGGATCCCAGAACGTACGCCAGATAAGTTGCCAGGTCCTCGCGGCAAAACGAGTCAAAGTACTAACGTCCACACCAAACTGCAAGTAATTGACTGCAAAACATCACCTCTAAGATGACCCACCTAGCTGATCATGCTCTCACCATACCGCCACACTACTAAACCCAAAAAATTCGTTGAAAAAAGCACAGTGCCCCAGTGCCGAAACGCTATTTATTCAAGCTATCCGACTGCCCAGGAATTGGATCTGAACCACTACCTTCCTCAGAAAAATGTGTCGTCCAATCTCAGTAACTCGCTTTTACTTCAGCTGTTACCTGCAAATGGTAAATGTTTTGTCTCTGATGGAAGTAAATACAAAAATCAACCTTTCTCAGCCTCTGAGTGCCCTGGTGGAATGGATTAAGGGAAGTCTATATTAAAAATACCTCAAATCGTCTGACTTGTGTGCCGTGGTTGATGGCTACTAGATATTCCAGAGCAAGAGAAGTTGAAAAGCATCGTTTGGCTAGCATATTACCGCTGGACAGGCCAAGACAACCGTCCGAACAGCATTCAGTACATAGTAGCTTTCAATGACTAGCCTTGACAGAAGACGGTTGTTTCGAATAGGAATCAAGTCACTTTGTCGTATTCGTAGTAGTTGATTTCCAACAGGTTAATAAATTATACCAGTGCGAAGGCAACACGAACAAGAGGGGCTATTGTGTTTCTTAACAATCATTTCACAAAGCTCCATTTCTAAAATGTGCAGTTTCCGCTGAAACACAAGAAAGCTCTTGACTGACGATCAAAGGAGTGATTTCATAAAAAACACATTTAACGTAGCAGCTGCCCAAATGAATGTGGGGTAATGATGTATTTGTGAGGGACAACAAATATTACTTAGATCCACTAAGGTAAGGAATACGAACGATCATGTTGTCTCTAATGGGACGTGCTCTATCCTTAGGTTGCCCCTTGTATACATACAAGCTAAATTTGGAGGGTCCAGTCCCAGACAGAAAAGATTGTAGTCAGGAATTTTGTGGCGCGCAAGAGACCTTCAAAAAGCAATAGCTAAGAAAAGGAGCTTGTTCAACTTAACAGACCGAACAGAATAATATTGGATCATTTGTGCGTCAGTCGAAAACCTCGTACACATATCTCTTATCCGTTTCTATTTACTCACCGTATAAGCTAATCCTAGCCTGGTACCTCGAATGGACCATACTTACCAATGCTTTCATGCCTTACTGATTGTGAACAAAAATAAGTAAGGAATCCATTCTACTTACCTGTCTGGTAAGAACGTAGTATGCATACATGGCCATGCTAGTACCGTAGCCGACGAAGTAGGTGACAGGTTCCATGATATCCCATGAGTACTCCCACCAGGTGAGGCGCGCTAGTAAGCCGAACTGTAGTCCCATCGCACCAAGACCGAGCCAGGTTAGACGACGTGTTCGTTTAGCCGCCTCTTTGGAGATCATAGTTTTCAGCTGTGATATAAACAAGCACACATAATACAAAAGTACAAATGGCGGATATGAGGGTGAGGAAAAACGGTCAGCCTGACTGGAAACTGGTCGTGGGACCTAAGGATCTAAGGAGTGAAAATAACGAGTGGACAATTTATCAGCTGAATGTGTTAAGCGGACCTCCTCGTCAATTACGGAGAGGACTCGTCGAACAAGTCGGGACGGAATGCATTGGTCAGACCAAGCTATAAGGCGGTAGGTAAACACAACTTACCTATTATGCTACATTATGTTCACAAAATCCAAAAGATGTTCATCCGCGATCGTAAGTACGATCCCAGCTTTGCACCCGATGACGCTGGAGTTTAGCTATTTATAATAGTCATCTATTATCAAAATGTGCACCTGGTTGGATGAAACAGCGAAGAAATTCGTTAGCTGTCCAGATATTAGTTAAAACAAGCTCTCATTCATTCTATCCACGTAAATATCACGACAAAAGGAAGTACATATTGGTGGATTGGTATGTAAGATAACCAGGGGTTGATTTGTACATTTGTTGTTACTGGCGTTTTGTGGTCACTGCTAAAAGAGAGAACGCAACAGGAATCGGTCTTAGTGAATTGTTTACACTCCACGAACTCGCAGATAGCAGAAAACGAAGTGAGAGGCAACTTTGGAGATATATGTTTCACAAAGTACTTAAACAGGTCCCACCGGTAAAATTAATCAGGCAAACCAGATGACCTGAATGATCCAGCTAAAGTGTCACTAATTCAGTCAAACTGCCTTGATGAACATCTGTGGTTTTGTACTCACTGTGAAAATTGACCCGCCGGATAAAGTAAAATCCTGTTATGAGCAGGCCAATGTACCTCTTCTAACTACGTCCTCATTAAAAGCATTCACGATTACTTATTCAAACCATTCAAATAATGTAAGCAAGACTCAATATGTTGAGGTGAAAGTTCATGGCCGAAAAACTTATGAATCAATTGCTCCTGTCTGGGTCTGAGTGACCTGGCAGTATTTCATTCCCTGTGCTTCCTTCGAGATTGCCAGGCGCAGACACAAACAGTTGAGATACGGAGCTTGGGTTCGAACCATGGACCTCAATGCCAGTACGTCCAATGAGCTATCTCCGGCCAATTAACATCAAGATTCATCGCTTCAAAAGTGAGCTGCGAATTTTTGGCTTATAACCAAACCACCTTCAGGAGCTTACCAAAATGGACGAAGTTATCGCAGCATCATAGACATCCAACAGGTATAAAAGAAGACCCCGTCGAGAAGTGTTGGTCTGAGCACCATCGTTCCTTAAGAAATGGGCAAACTGGCAAGCGTGGTCAATTGCCGCGGATCTGATAAGTATCTCGAGACTTCAGGAAACACATTACTATCACTCGGGATAGGCAAGCAATAAATTATAAGTGACTCAGAATGAAGAACAATTGACCCGAGTGAGCTTCCCATCATAGAGGTCATCAGATAAATCAGTCAACATGTCACCACGAGATGTAAATTCTGCGAGGGAAGGATGAGTTGTGTTGCACCAGAGGTGCGAGTCAATCACACTGCTGATCAGCCGTTGGCTGCAGAACGGTCTGGTTTTCAAACTACTTAGCACGAGGTCGCGAGTTCGAAATAGCCCGAAGTTTCGTGAGATGCGCAATGTTAGTGATATTCGGTAAGGCTGAAACCGTTGAACAGTGATTCTTGGCTATTCAGTATCAAATGCCTTCTTCTAGAGGACGAAATCTTCATTGGAAGAGGATTTCGTACAGCTGTACTATTGAAATACGGAAACAAAAATATGGAAAAACGTTTGCTTTTACAATATTCTGGCAATGTATGTGACCAGGACCGCCTTAAGTTATCATGCGCACAATGCGGAGATTTTATGCATTTTAAACTTAATTAGGATCACAGCCGTCTACGAAAGCAAACAACACGAAACGTGGCTCTCATTCCATTAGTCCCTTTGCACCCGGTGAAAGAAGCTATATCAGCTGAACAAAATGTATTCAGGTACACTATTTATAAATGAAAGACAGACTGACTGCTGCTCGTTACCAGCAGTAAACAAGAGGGCTGCGCGTGTTGACAGAAAAATGCAGTGTTTCGCATCCTCCAAATACTCCAGAGCTGGCACCGACCTATCGAACACAGAATTATTCACCTCCACCCACAGAATGAATTAATGAAGAAAAAAACACTGGTGGTCATATAATTCTGTCGTGAAGTGCGCGGTTATGCCAGAAGCCAACTAATTCACTCCGCCAGACATTGAATGCAGTATGTGTTAGGCTGAGCGCTTGCGATAGGCCAGTACAAGGTTCCTGCCTCACCCAGTGTTTTCTCTTCTTTCCACTTAGAGGCTTTGAGTATAATTATTAAATTTTGCACTATAGTAAACTATGTGGCTGTACAACAGTGAAGCACCAATGTCGGCACTAACATCGTTGCATCTGATAGTGATTTAGAGTGCTTTACTGATCTGGTAATCGAGTTGGAGAAATGAATAGGGTTGGGATAGAAGATGAAAGCGCGTTGAACACTCAACCCTACACTCCATTCAGTCATCAATTCTTACATCTACTATAAAGTACGTCGAATCAACGGCTGATCAAACATTGCGTCACACGGTAAACCAATCAATAGACGAACAGTTCGTATTGATCGTTATTCACACACCAGATACTAAAGCGCTCACTTAAGCAACTGTTAGATAACCAAAGGTACACCTTACCTAATAACCATTCGTACACCGACCGGAGCTCAATTGTGATAACTTCTGAGGCAAAGAATACTAGCAACCACGTGATCTTGTGTTTGGCCTCACATTTGGGGAGGAATATAAGTATATTCCAACAACTATGCTGCCTTTCGGTTGAAATGCTCAATGATAAGTTTGAGTGAGAAGTGACGGTGCTTCCCCGGTTGTTTATTAGACTGTGTGGGTCAACTGGACTGTAACTGTCTCAATTAGGTTCGAATTAGTATCATGTTAGTACAAGACTGACGTTTACTCATGTCAAGTCAAGAATCGTTCGAAAATTTGAACATTTCTGTCCACGTAGGTAGGAACAACATAGGAGATTGTCAAACATGCTTTAGTCCAGTAGCAGCATTCTTGGAAATACTTACTTCTTCAAATGGTTGTAGTTGATACGAAACGTCTTCGATGCGCCGCTCCAACTCTAGTTCCTGCTGTTTGTGAAATTCGTCTGAATGTAAGGCGTTCGCTAGACGTGAAACCATCAGCCGAGCATTCGAGAGATCACAGGATGATGCGCCGGATTCTGTTCCTTGGTTAGTTAGGTCGCAAAGGGATCCAAAAAGGGTGTAAGTGGAACGCTCGTTTTTCGTTAAAGGTAAATATCTAGGACAAACGAGTCGATACATGGTGGTTTGCACATAAAGGACACCATGAGCGCACCATGAGTGTGAACATTTCTAGTGCAACGAAGCAACAGTGGCGAACAAAGAGCGTGTTGCTGACTAGTAAATCACCACTGGTCAATATGAATATACGGGAATAATTGCATGGAAAAAATAGTTCAGCTGTAGCATCCTTTAGGTGCCGTGCTATCCGAAGAAGCATGAGGAACGAGTCGATACATGGTGGTTTGCACATAAAGGACACCATGAGCGCACCATGAGTGTGAACATTTCTAGTGCAACGAAGCAACAGTGGCGAACAAAGAGCGTGTTGCTGACTAGTAAATCACCACTGGTCAATATGAATATACGGGAATAATTGCATGGAAAAAATAGTTCAGCTGTAGCATCCTTTAGGTGCCGTGCTATCCGAAGGAAGCATGAGGGCTGGGATACTACCAGGTTCCCCAAACCTGGACAGGAGATGTCGAGATGCGAAGTTCGGATTCGAACCACGGATCATCCACTGAACCAAGGGAGAGATCAACTATATTCAGGCACCCATCCATCGCTTAGCAAAGAAGCAATATCCGTACCGGTTGGGTACATGGTGAAAAACCTCTCCTTGACTGTCGACAGTGAGCTACAGTAATCCCTTCTCAAGTTCTCTGAGGCCAGGTACCGTAACTATAGACGATGTCTTACAAACAGTGATTCCCACCACAATCTCATCTCTTACCGGCACTACATATATGCATTGCGTACCACCAGTGTTAGTCAGTGAGCACTCGAAGTAACAAGATTAGCATTTATTTGTTTCCTGATTTCTGAGAAATTCAAAAGCGGAATAGAACGTCCCATGACTCAAACACAAACCCAACCATTCTCACGACATGCTGGCATCATGAACGAATCCATTTCAGATACCACTAATTTGACTTGATAGAAACAAATCCCACGGGCAATCGGAAAATTTCGAATCAGCTGGTTAGCGTGCTTAGCAGTTGAGCCTGCTGATATTTGCAAACCAATCGTCTCCGATAAACTCGTTTTATTTTTGTCCGGAGGCAAACGATTATATCATTTGGCTTTTCTTACAGTACGTGAGCAAATACCCTAGAGACAGCCCTCAACCACAAAACGGAGAGTTTGAGCATGAACTCCACAGAATTAAAACCCGCAACAATCGGTGAATGTAGTAAGTTCCAGCGGCCAATAACAGAACTTCGACCTCCTTAAGTTGCTCTGGTAGAGTCCGGGCACGCTAGCGTAAGCTTTTGACCTCCGAATTCAGAACCTGGCTGTCAATACGGTTCTGCAGAGGTGCGAAATTCGGCGCGAAAAAAGAGACATCGTTTTCCTGTGTGCAAGATACTGTAAGCAAAGAAGGGTTACAAAATGGGAGGTGGAAGTAGGCATCCATAAGGACCTCCTCTATTACACCGACGTTTTGCGTGCCAGCGAACAAAAAGGGAAGGCTTAAGTCGAATTTTATGTCTAGATAATACACCGTCCCTACTTTCTTACTACTCTTCTTCCCAAAGACCCTACTCATAGTACAACCCCATTGCACTTGGATGTCAACACTAATTTACTTAGGCAGGAGTGATGTCGTCAGTATTTGATTCGCAGATGCTCTAAATACACCGTCTCTTAGGCTAGCGAAATCGTATTTATAACGACTGACTGATATGTCGTTCGCTTTCTCTCGTTGGAGCCAAACGTTGACCGACCGACATGGTCGGTTGTGATGAGTTTTGGCAATCACTTCCACCTATTTAGAGTTTTTTATCAGGCCTCTCGATGCATCTTTCGTATTTATTGAGTCATGATTGCTCCGAACCCAGGGACTCCTACGTTTCCAGAACAATCAATTGGCACAAACGAAAGTGTGGAAGTAAACGTGACAAACAGATCGACCAAATATTAAATCTACCAAGACATATACCTGGGTTTCAATGGGGTTTTGAGGCATTCTAATATAAATGGTATTGGGTGGACAGAAAGCACACCAATCAGTCAAGTGAAGCCATGAATGTACTCATGAACTCCAAGGATTGAGTCCTCAATATCGGCTTGGCTGAAAAGAGCAAGGTTGTTAGACAGAATGGTTGGACACTTGCTTTATTCTGTGACGCCTTAACCAAGAAAGCTTAAAAAACCGGCTTTGTTGGATGATTCCCCACACACTAATACTCTGTGGGAGCCAAAGCACTCACTGTACTAAGCAAGATCATATAATCTAAGTTGGCCACAGATACTATCTACAGATTGAAACACCGAATTATTAGATGGCATTCAAAATGACATAGCAGACGTGAAAGTTACAATTGCAGATAAGCAGCTTGCGTTGTCACAAACAGACACTATACTGCCGCTCAACCCCCATGCGGCCAATCCGATAATTAGATAACTTTCGTGAAGAATACTGGATTCGTTTCAAGAACAATTATTTAAATGAAACTCCGATAGCAGTATTTTGAGGTTGTGTGGTGGTGGAAATTGTTTATCCAGTATGGCAGGTATTGGTTGCCCTGACTTGATATGTTACCTTCCGGAAGAAAGAAATCTGGAGCTAGACTCTAAATATGCCAAAAGCCGAGAGATAGCGACTTACCTAGTGGAGTAGTGTCAACGTGAAAAACATCCTTGTTTATGACCAGTTGAAAGTTCGAGGTTAATAGGTCAGCTATGGTGTTCGACTTCGCTATCCTGGTACCACCTGGAGTTCGGAAAGAAAACAAGTTGCCCGTGACATGGCTGGAGGGTGGGTCGGCCATCTAAAACTTGTGTGAATTGACTACTTAACTGACAAATGCGATGAACACAACCTACATAGTTGACCAAAATGCAAAATACAGCACTAGACCGATTGAACTCTGCAACAAGGAAGAAAAACCAAAGAGATAACGACGCTGTCCTGGATCACTTTAAACCCACCACAGCCTCTTCCCGGTCAAGTCGGCTCAAAAGCTGCAATTCTGTGGCCACTCGGTGCGTATAAATGCAGACATTTTCCCGTAAAACCACTCATGCAATTCCGGTACCGGGAACGACTGTCCGTGTTATTAAAAGTTGCGCGAATCAGCAATTTTTTAGTGACGTTCACGCAATGGTCAGATAATACTATAGAAATGGTGTCTCGAGAGCAAATCCAAACTAGGACAGCGGTAGTTTGAGAACAAAGCCTAGCAAACGGGAGATGTTTGTTTTGCCAGATATATCCTACTGAAACTGATAAGTTTATGAAATAACCTTCTGACAAAATGATCAGCGCAACGACATAAGTATTTGAATGAAACCCATGGTTGCTGTGACACCTATTCTAGGAAAGTCGGACAAGTGTATTGCCAACAAAAATGGCAACATTATTAATCAAACAAAGCAACCACGGGTTGCAATTGCACATTTCGGTCTCATTGCGGGTTTTGTGGATGACAAGACAAACAAACAAAAACAAACAAAACAAACAGTGCTTCTCGGGTTTTCAGCATAGATTGGCTCAACTTACAGGACGAAATCTCCACTAAAACCCAAATCTCCTCGCACTACCGAAAAACAAAATCATTGTGAGACAGAACTGAACTAATGGAATACAGAAGACTGAGGTAATTAGACTATCTGACTTCCCTTGAGTGAGCTTCATCGAAACTAGATAGATAAGCAGATAGTAGAGTAGCTCACATTAGGCTGGTTGGATTGTAGGGTTGCGTGTGCAACGTGCTTCTTCCACCGAGTGTGAAGGGGTTAATGGAAGGAGAGCCACGCTGCAATAGCCCAATCAGTTCATCGACATCGAATGTTCGTCCGTAATGCAGGGATTGAAGTTGCTACTTAATAGTGGTAATAGCTTTGATGCTAGATCGCCGCTGGCTGCGTGGCAGAGCCATGTTTACTAACCATTGATGTCTCCTCCAAGAGACTTCATCCGAGGAGAGAGTGATCACGGCTAACTTGAGTGTTAAGTTCTTTGGTTCTTAGTTTCCAGATCATGAACTGACCAGCACTGGGTCATCTCCATCTGATTCATAGCTCGGAAAATAGGGCTATACGAGATAGCCGTTCTCTGGCAAACGAAGTACACAACCCAACCAGGGTAACCTGTGATCTGTCTCAAAGATATGAACAATGCATCCTCAACCAGGGCGAAAGCTTGAGCCGAATGGTAACAAAGAGTACATCGGATGAATCGGCTACCGAGCTGATGTCGCAATGGTTTTCGCATGACGTCCGTGTGTCGATTTCAAGGATTGGAATCAAAGCGATCCATTTCACCAACAATCTCTTTTTCGCTCCAAATCTTCTGTAGTAGGGCTGACCGTCACGAAGAGACTGGACCTTACCGTGGTGTGACGGTTTGCGCACCTCAGCGATCCATTGAGCTATACTGGAGAGTGTCCCGCGACACTCACAGTCTCTCACACCAGGTTGGTCAATGGTTAGAGGTCCGACGAACACAATCTCCTGGCCCTCCAGGTTGGGGGTTGGAACATGTGGCGACTTGTTCCGTAGAAATGGTAATGCATTTGCATTTCCCGCCAAACACCGCTGCCTTGCGGTTAGGCTTCTGAGCCAAAGGCTTTGGTTGAGGACCCTAATCGTCCTCCTGTCCAGGTGTTGGCGCCCTGGCAGTATCCCAGTCCACGTACAACCATGAATTGCACATACACAAATAGTACGACAGTGAAGTACGACAGGCAGCTAGCTAGGGTTCCATTAAATTCTTTGAACAGAGCAAGGTGAAAACCATAAGCGGCGGATTACCAGTTATGTTGGAGGATTGATATGTCGTGTTGAGATCGGTTACCGGCGGCGCAATAATACTGATATTCTATTTGTTTGTCAAGTTTTTTCTGAGATTGTGTTGAAGGGGATCAGCTAAACCATTCAGCCGATTCGTGCTCATCTCATCACTCAACTACTCTGCAAATGAATGGCTGTTCCATCCTTCCTGCAACTAGCTTCTCCCGGGACTCACCTTCTCTCAGCTTTACACAGCTAATAGGCCAAAAGAGAGCGCGGCTGTTCCTTGCAACGAAGGTTTTCTTCCTGTCTTGGGCTTTCGCAATCCCCCTACGTCTTCCGTCGTCCTTCCGTATCTTGAGCACCCAAGATATGGTTGCGTGCGCAATCGTAGCCACCAGTTACAGGTATGCATTTTCTGGTAGTGGTAATAGCTCGTGCATCCAACGCTATCTACTGATTACTTAGTTGATTCGAATGGTTGGGATGGGTAGTCCATAAAGCCGATAGCAGTTTCACTCGCTCTCTTCGATTCCCCCGCCAATCAATCTTCGTCACCGACGAGATCGTTATCAGTAGCCCGCTAGCCAGATTGTTGAACTACTGAAACCCACTGGAAATATTGAATAAATAACGTGAGGAGACCTCAGCTCAAGATCTAAGTGAGCAGGTGAAACAAGATCTTTATCAATGAGGATACAACCCTCTTCGTCGGCTGGAAAATCACCTTAATTTAGCAGGCGATAGCATCTAAGTATCAAAGGTGCTGTAAACACGTAGATCCTGTACTGAATTTCGGAAACGCATCAGATGTCTTTGGATATAGTGTCAATAGTGTGTCAAAGAACCTTTGGGGCCAAACTGTTTAAGAGCTCGCACATCAAAGACTGCGATAAAACGGTTATGATGAGCGAGAAGCGAACGCAAAGCGACAGATCTGAGCAGTGGCGCGCTATTAGTCAGTTCCTTGGATGCAACACTGACGTGTCAATAGCTGAAGAGTAGCCGTTACAAGCGACAGACGGGCAGCTGAGAAATAATATCCAAGGATGGGGTCGACAGTAGTTTGTTCCGGCCCCCAACCATGTGTGCAACACAATCTGGTGGATGGAGCCCTTGTAGCATGATAGCACTGGTACGTGCGCGATTGTTGTGTGGGCTGGTATGTCGTCAGGGCGCCAAAGTCGAGTCAAAAGGGAAGTTGTCATTATCAGAGACAGCTTCAGTGGTGACTGATACTTCACTACTGTACAAACACAAGGTTTAGTTAATTACGCTTAAAACTTTCGGATGAAAAGCGAAAATACTAGATGGGGAAGGGAACTGGTGCTGAGCTACTGAGAGCAGTCTAAGCTGCTTACATCTCCAAATGCTCATTCACACAATCTTGAAACTGACAGCTGGAACGCCACTGACATCATTCAGCCACTGTTTCTTGTAACGTACAGGGGGAATGTTTACGGCCTCAATACAGTGTACTGAGATCTGGATATCAATAAACTGCAGCGGACTGACACAAGCCGACCAAAGCAGTGCAGCCTTTCAAGATCCAACGCCCAACCTAGAGGGTAAAATGACTGCTAGTCCGACCTCTATGCCCTGACGAACATGGCGTGAAGCTGTATGGACGTCACGTGGGCAAGCCTAATGAAGATCAGTAGGTCCACAAGCCATGCATTCCCTTCGTGAAGCAGTGAGGTGTACTGCCCTGGAAAATTCGTGAGTCTACTATATGAGGGAAGGATGTACGGCTGTGGCTCATAGGCACGCTTAGGGTAGTATGGATTATTCACTCAAAACAAGAGCATATTTTTCCTCGCTGGTATTTGGTTTTCGAGTGTCATGTCAAAGATCAGCCGCTGTGTTAACATACACTTGGTTTCGTTCAATAAGCTTGTGGATGAACCACAGGAAGACAGTGAGATTGTTATTTTTCAATCATAGACAGGCGGAGAATGACATCTCTATGCTTGTGAAATAAACTCATTTGCAGTCTAATTTTGTTTTAACGGGAAATTCTACTGGTTGTGCTACATAAAAGCCATCTCATGTTCCAGTTAACAATATATTTGAGATATCGTAATACACTAGCTACGCGAAGCCGACTACTCATAAGGTGAACTAGCGAAGAATTTTCGAAGCAGAATGAGCCGTTACATTCAGAACAATCCGTTTAGTTTCAGTAGGGCGCTTCGTCTAAGAAAGGTCATTGGAACAGGAGACACATAAGGGTGAGGTTGAAAATTAGGTGGCGACAACAGAAAGAACTTTCATGATGGCTGACCTGCATCACATTACCACTTGGTTGAGGCACGAGATTTCGCACGGATATTGTGAAATACACGCACTCAGTATGAGTATCAAGGCTATATGTATCTAAATTGGTGATGTACACAGGTCACTTTCGACAGTCGCCATTATGCGTTCTGGCGCCACTGTTTCTGCTCACCGTTTTGATCGACAGACAGCCGGAGACAACCGATATGACTTACTTCAACTTACAGTAAAAATCCACCCTGACTAACGCCCTACTGGAATAATGGTATTTTTTGCCGCAGTACCACTAAGGTTCGATTAGTTTGGTTTGACTAACATCCACACAGCAGCCAAATGTTTGCTTTCCACAGGGACCCACAGACAGTAATGATTGAACAGTGAGGTGCAGAGGTATGTGCGGACTGTATTCTCCCACAAATATTAACCAACGATTGTAAACCAGAAGGCGGTCTCCTTATCCGACCGATGGGATTCCGGTTGAGAGGAGTGGTGATATTATCACCATAGAAACATAGCACTTTAGCGGAATACACTCATTTGCATACCATTTGGTTTTAAGGAGAGACTCACTTGGAACCCAGCTGAATCCCTCCTTTATCATGTTTTCAAGCAATTAAATGTGCGATGGTAGAATACTTGGGGTACCACGCGCCAATTTATCAGCTCCCGTCTCGACTACGCAGCTACCTACCCCGCCTCTTCAAATCTCCAAAACTGTGGCAGCTACAACCACTGTACGACAAGTCCACGGTTCTTACGACTGATAATGACAATGATGATGATGTCGATGACGATGCTGATTATGAAAGTAGAAACAGCTTCATCTGTGCGTAAAAGTACTCGTTATCTGGAGAAAACTGGTATTCATTTAGGTACACTAATTTCACGTTTTTCATAGTTTTATCTTTGGAGCACAGATGAAATCCACTTCCAGTATCCTAACACAAATGCATATATTCTTCGCCATCAGACAAAAACCCAGTATAAACAACATAGTTAAACCACAAAGTAAGGCACAATAGGACTTACTCTTACTGATAAATGCAACGTAGTCGACCCCACGATCCTCGGACATGATGAAGTTGGTTAAATCTCCGACCGTGTGTTGAAGCGGCTTTACGATGAACATGCATGTGTCACGTCGTGAAGGAAGGGGGATGCTAAATTGCGGCAGTCCATTTTCTACGGTTACTCTGACAGGATTGAGAGCGTCTGTTCCCGTTGAAAGCTGTTTAGAATGACATTGTGTTGGGATGGTACCAGTGATCGCCTAAGACAAGGTAGAAAATTTTACGATAACGGCCATCGCATTTTCATTGTATATCTGGACATTATTCAACCGAAACATCAGAGCTTGCTGGTTGACTACTAACGCGGTCAACAAGGTTCAAGCAATCAGGTCCTGAATGGTTGGTATACAGGTTGGAACCTCTGTGGTTCCCATAGTGGGATCTGTGAACAAGTTTCCAAGATGGTTCAGACGTTTTGTCCCTGCGAACTGAAACTAGCTTAATTGGCCCCTTATGCCAAGCAATATAGTTTACTACTGTCCACGCTGGGCTAACTATCCATCAAGAGTCTGTCGGCGAACTCGGACGGACAAGTGCAGAAATATATTTTCAAGTCATATTCTAAAGTAATGATTAGACTGAGTTTGTCTACGCAAACTGTACGACAGATGTAAGAATTTATGAGCAAAACCTCAGAGCAAAATGTCGACGTAGTATCCTCAGAGCTTCATAAAGAGACTTTCTTGTAATTGCTCTGAGATATTCACGAACGACCTAAAACAATACATAGAAAGCCAGCGCACCAACTGTTCATTGATTCCGAATAATCAATCAAGTAAAATCACGTGATTCATTTACAAAACTCAGCTGTGGCAAGTTTGTTGTCAAATTGCTCAAAACCGGAACGGTTCAATCGGATAGGTAAAAGACTCCAAACATGTCCTTCGTTTCAAACCCGTAAAGCAATTACGCAGACATTCTCGTCTTCCTTGTCAGATGTGAAAGACCCGGCAGTGGATTTGTTCCGCAATATGAACGCTTTTCCATTCGAGTTCTTGTGTCTTGAGCTTCGGATGCTGCGGTTAATCGCCCCAACTTATTGAGAGTTTCGGTTCAGTTGGAAATGTCACTTGTGAAATAAGTAAGTTAGTACAGAGCTTCTATTCAAACAGAACGAAGGATAAAAGATAGAAGAGCAATAGTGACGAAGGTGAACGGAAATACTTACAATTTTCAATTACCTCTCCGACGAGTAGAGACCATCACATATTCCCAGATGGTGCACTTAAAAATAGACGAGCACGCTGCTAAATATTTAGCAATACTCTACGAAGTTAGTACACACTTGGGCAACCACCGATGAAAAATATTCAGCCATGTATACCCTCGAATTAACCTTCCAATTCAGTAATCCTCTAATAAATCATTCAATTGCAAAAGTGCGGTACAATAACCAAACTGAACAAACAGATGGACCAAGTGCACTGGTTTGTACATTAAATGAACCGTTGAACCTGTAACCAGCATCGCGGAATGCCATAGTCATCATAAGGGTAGTTATTGATCAGCCCCATATTCGAGTGACTTAACAGCAAGCAGACGATGCTCGACAAAATTAAGCACCGCATGCAACTTGGTTAATTGGTTCACAACAGCAAAAAAATAAATGTTACTACCTCATCGCTCGGGTAGCTGAGGAAAGTTGTATTTACTAGTTGTTAAACTTGGGCCAGCTGAATGAGTGCTACAAAGAAGCGTGCACATCCTAATGTGTACTCTTATCTTTAATACTTGTGGGCAATTTTACCAGTCCTAACGTTCGCAGTTCGCTGTCAAACACCAGGGCTCCTGAAAGTCCCCAGAACCGGGAAAATGGGGTTGATAATTTCTCAAAACAAATATTCTCATAGCTGTATATAAAAACCCTACGCTAATCTGAATAGAAACTGATTCCATCATCATTGACAGTCATTTGCAGTAATACATATCGCTGCTTAACTACCACAGCCATAAAGGAATAAGCCTTTGTAAAGAGTGGAAGGAAAATGGAGGGATGATGAATTAGTCCGAATAAGATAACACGATGAAGGGTAAGGAACCTAGACCTTGCGATAGCAATGACATAAACATATACAGCATCATGTCGGATTAGGACGTCATCAGCGGGATCAAATCAGTGTCCTTTGAGAACCTCACCCGACCTAAGCGAATGCTACTCGCGTCCTGATTAACCGCGCATTAACTTCATCTGCTACCGTACGGTGATGACTTGCACAGCTGCCAGGATATTTGAAACGATCAACAAACTCAAACTCTTCACTCTGAAGTTCAAAGAAGAACAGGGGGATATAAAACCTTGAATTAAGAATTTGCACTTTAAAGGTACAAAACGACACCAAACATGGTATGACCTCCGGTAACTTGGCTAAGGAAGTTTGCACGGACAATCAGTAGTAAAACGACGAAACCATATCGTCCGGATAATCCAAATCCGTTGATTTCCCTCCGAATACGATTTCAATACACAGATCCGGGGTCCCTTGTGTGTGTACTCCATTATGGTGTACATGACAAAACTGGGCGAAATGAGAGGGGGCAACCTTGGCGTCATCCACTAGTTGCCAAAAGGTTCCTGGGCAGAATATTGCATACCCTGACCGGCTCGGAGGTATGGGACAGCACGAAGACCACTGATATCGACTTGAAGTAATGCCTAACATCTTCTCCAGCAAAGTACAAAAAGGCTCAAAAGAACCGCGTCTTGAAAAGCAGATCGGCGAAGCCGAACACATATAGCCGGTCCCTGAGGTTCGGCATCAGATTTTCATAGAAGCCGCTTGACTCTCACATGCATTATTCGAGTGTTTTACAACCCGCGATTCCAAAATCTCAGGGTATTCCAATGCGCACTCAATTCTTCAGGTATCTACCGACTAGGTTTGCCCAAACGTGAACGGGATCACAAAAACCGACACCAAGACGAGCAGTCTATTACAAGAACCACCACTAAGAAACAAGCCTTCCTTCTCTGTGTATGTTCAAGTGTAGTTCCAATTAACACGCGCGTTTAGGTAGGATATTTTACAGCCTTGTTTCGGCGTGTTTTTTATTGCCCTCAAATTGAGTAACCCTTCCAGTTCGCTTCGTTTAAAGCACTCGCGTAGAACAACAACTCAAATACGGAACACGGTGAATACATCAACAACCACCTGATCAAAAACCAACGCGCCACTGTGGGACTCTTTTTTGGCACCGTCGTTGGCATGCACCTATAAAAAACCCGTCAGTGTTCGGTCCAATTAGAAGCAACTAGACATATGAATGTCAAAGGAACTTGGCCCAGAGGTAATCCTGGTTACCTGTTTTTGAAGGGTCCGCATTTGTTTATAAGTACTTATATTTTCAACGTTTTAGCCACGCCAACATTTTAAGATCAAAGTCAAACCTATAAATTTCCCAAATCCAACAAGTAAAAACCTGCTCCACCCACATTCATAAGTTTAAGTTTCTAAGAGTTCCACTGAGACAGATAAGGAGGAAGACAATCCTTCAAAATGCACTTCGACATCCATGATATGAGAGTGAATAGAAGAGAAACCTATCCCATTGCTCAGAGACCACAAAACAGACATCCTGAATTTCAGTGCCTCCTTAAGACTCCATAACCAACACAGATTGATTCAAACCTGTCTAACCGATGGAGGAAACGCCGTCGCGGCGTGTCAGTCATAAGTCGAGAAAAAATAAACCAATAAGGTAGAACAACACTCTACTTCCGTAACAAATACAGAAAAATATCCAAAATCCTAATTTTCACACTGAGGAAACTCTATTCCGTAGACTATCGCTCGACTGCGAAGACAACGGCATAGTTGTAGAAACGTTATCTCGAGCAGCTACAGTGTTCTAGAGGCCATGCGGCTCGCTCACACCCCTCACATCAGGTAGCGGTTACGAGAAGAACGAATGTCCCTGCAGGGCGTCATATCACCCACAGGAAGCTGACAAGGGGAAGAGTAAAATAGGGGGTGGTCGACGAAGGCAATAAGGCCAATTGCCAAGCTCAAAGAAACACCGCTTATACTAGGCAGCTGAGTGGAGGGCATGCTACCTGCCTAAACAGTAACGACATGGTTTTGTCGACAAAAATAAGGCCTCTACAACAGTAGTCCCTAGATTCCAAGAGTAACAAGCTTTCGCAACAATGCTGGAGATGTCGTGTGCGGCCAAATGACCAGAAGTTAGGCTACATGAAGCCGGTTTATATCTGCTCGTCAACAGCCCATTGTGAGTAGCAGGTTACCTAGGCAGAGCCCTTGTTGTCGGAATTCAATTGGATGTAAGCGTACAATTTATCAGCCCTATAAATTTAGAAAAGACGAGGAGGGGTGAGCCTGCTATCTGCTAGATCACATATGCTACTCCTATATTCTGAGCTAATTGTGTCACTTTTCACTGGGCCGAGAAACAGGATTGCTAACTAGCATCTGGTAACGATTCTACAGCAGAAGAAAGAACATCCTGCCTCGATCAACTTTGTAAATTTTCGCAGTGGGTCTTTACCTTGTGCCCGATATCAGCTGGCGAATAAACCACTGTGAAAACAACCGTGGCATTAGCTTGCTGGCTGTGGCATCAAAGGTGCTCTCTGGTCTTATCCTTCGAGTCACTCAGCTGTAGCACTCTTTCGGTGCCCAAATGTGATGTCTCCCGAATGTAGCATGAGGACTGGGATACTACCAGGTTGTCCAAGCCTAGACAGAAGAAGTTGAGAGGCAGTGGTCGGGTTCGAACTAGGACCTTCAGATCGGCGAATCCTTGTTATAACCACTGAGCCACCTCACCTCCCTTATACTTTGAAGGTTGACTGGACACAGAGAGAGACAGATCCGTGGGAACCAAGGTGGGTTCCGCCCTGCAAGAGGATGCATCGACCATGCCTTTACCCTCCGGTAGAATCCGGAAAAGCGACACTGTTCCCAGCAATCAAAAATAGTAGTGTTTTTCGACTTGAAAGCTGTCTTTGAATCTGTGGACCGTCAGGCACTATTACAGAGTCTGTGAAGCAAAGACGTCCCCCACAAATTCTTGACCCTCCTCAAGGAGCTATACGCCAACTATGGCGGAAATGTGAAGGTATACGGGAAGCTCTCGCCGGAGTTCACCACATCAGGTGGTGATAGATAAGACTGTCCTCTTTTAACTTCCCTCTTCAAATTCGTCATTGGTAAGGTTATAAAGAATGCACTATCAGCCTCTG